TTCATTCCCCAGCCTACCCCACCCTCTATTCAACTAATTCTATGCTTGGCCTTCCTACCATGGACCCAGTTACTTCCTGGGAATCACTCAATGTCTCCTGGCCCCTAACTCTCTATGCTTCACTACCAACAACGCATCCTCATGCATTGGGCTGTTCAACCTGACCATCCAAGATTATACTGGCAGTGCCTCCTTGGGTTACATGCTTAAACTCCAGGGCCTTTCCCCTACCTTCAACAACACTGATGTAACCTTGGTCCTCGCTGCACTGGGGACAATAATAACAGGGGAGGCGGAGGGGACCGCCACCCCTCCACCCCTCCACCCCTCTTTTGCCCTGCCATTCTACGCCCACCACTCCCCAACTGCCCACGCACATGCTCCCTTGCACCCCTTTTCCTCGTGCTCCCTATACCGTGGCACAGATGCCACCCTAAGCCCAACCATGCCATCCCTCCCTTTGGCCATTCAGCCACTCCTCCTCTAATCACCCCCTACGATCTTGGAGACAACTGGCCCCAACTATCCCTGTGGCATTAACATCTCCGATACCAACCGCAAATCAATACTCAGTAACTGGGACCTCTGTGGACCGCACGCCTGCATGGACGTGGGGCCATTACTGGCACAGCAGGGCCTTCACCTTTCCAACAGCACTTACACTAACACCAATCCCTCTACTTGTGCCCAAAACAAAATCATTACATCCATTGATCACACTACATCCTGGCCCCGTTGCTCCCCCTGTGACCCACAAGTCTTTTTCCGTAATTTGATTCAACAGTCAGGGGAGTCCTTCACGGACTTTCTTACCTGTGTCACTGAGGTAGTAGAGCGGAGGGTGGAGTCTGGACCCACCCAAGAGGTGCTTATCAAACAGTTAACTTGGGAGGGACTAAACATCCCTACTCGTGCCTGTCCGCAATGATAACATTCACAAACGGGTGGGTACTCGCTACTAGAGACTCAGACCTAGGGCGGGCCCTATTGAGGCTTCAACCGACCGCCTCCTTGGAGACTCTTTTGTCTCAAGGAAAACCCCGCACACTTTGGCACATGGGAAGGCTGCTGGAACTGTGGGGGGCTTGGCCACTTCCGTAGCCACTGCCCAAGAGGTACAGCTTGCCCCAAGACTCGCTGCCCAAAGCGCAAAAAAGGGTTCCATTGGGCTAAAGACTGTAGGTCACAGCCTCAATTGGACTCAGCTCCTTTAAACTCCACACGGGGCGCCCCTCAGCCCTGCCCACAAGAGGGAAAATGAGACAATATTATGGACTCTCCCAGTCCTCAACCACTCCCTACAAATGACCCTGTTGTACTCTTGCCCTTCTCGCTTCATTCCCCAGCCTACCCCACCCTCTATTCAACTAATTCTATGCTTGGCCTCCCCACCATGGACCCAGTTACTTTCTGGGAATCACTCAATGGCTCCTGGCCCCTAAATAACTCTCTGTGATTCACTATCAACAACGCATCCTCATGCCTTGGGCTGTTACTTCATTTTCCCACAGTCAGAAAAAATTCAGTCTCTCAGTGTATCAGGCTCTCAGAGCAATACACAAAGATGATTTCAACCTGCCCTATGCAGCCCGACAGACTTGGCTCACACAAATGTACAAGGCCTCCTACAGAAAATTCCCCACCTCAACTGATCCCCCAGGATGATACCCCTTGGCGTGCTGGTAGCCAATGACGGGTAAGATCCTGTTGGGCTGAATCAACCTAAGCCAGGACATATGCCCATGCTCCAATGACAGGTAAGGTTCATGCCCGAATAGGACAACCTAAGCCAGGCACAGTCCATGATCCTGGAGTCATCCTGAGGCGGAGCTGCCTACAGGCTCTCACTGTACAGTCATTTTTAAAGAAAAAGGGTGGAAGTGTAGCAGGAGGCCTCCAAAGATGGTGCGGACTCAGAGCCCTGGGATTCGGTGAGAATTCACTTCACTTCTTGGTCCACAAATAGCCCGCCAAAAGGAGCCCACGCCTCCGTACCCTGCTCGTGACCCAGTGACTGCTGACAGACTGCGTGGCGTGGACCAATCAGAAAACGATACGTTGACTAAAGGGACTTGGGGGTGGAGAAAAGGGAAATATAAGGCCTGCCCCCTCCTGCATTAAATGTGCCTGCAGCACCTCTCCTAGTGCTTGCTTCTACCCGACTCCTGGGGTCTTTGTGTTGACTCCGCACCTCTTGCCCCCCTAATCAGCAGGGGACCCGATCCAGGTTAGGGTCTTTACAGCTGGCCTGAGGAGAACCCGCAACAGGACCTGAATTTGGTTCCCAGCACCCACATCAAGCAGCTCACAAGTTACACTGCCTATATCTCCAGCTCCAGGGGATCCAATACCTCTGGCCTCCACTGGCAGCTGCATTCAAGTGCACATACCCATACACAAACACACACATGCATATAATTAAAAATAAAATAAAAATAAATCTTAAAAAAGAATATGCTTGTTCCATTCTTAATAAAAAAAATAAAGTATTCTACAGATATCAATTAGGTCAAGTTGATTGAAACTATTATTCAATTCTTCTATGGTATTTCTCATTTTAAAATTTTGTTACTGCATTAATTTTATGGGGGAGGCACATGCCACAGTGCACATGTAGAGAACAACTTGAGGGAGTTGACTCTCTCCTTCCATCATGTGGGTCCAGAGATCGGGACTGAATTGAGGTTTTCAGGTTTACAAGTACCTTTACCTGCAGAGCCATCTTGCTGGCTCAGTATTTCTCATTTTCTATCTATTTATGACATCAACTAGCAAAAGGAACCACCAGTGCAGTTCCCTACTTATGACATCAACTAGCAAAAAGGAACCAGTGCAATTCCCTACTATAATTGGGCTTTTTAAATATCTTTGTTATTTTATTAGTGTTGCTTCATGTACTTTGCAACTCTGTTATTAGGTACAAGAAGTTTAGGATTGATCCTGACTGATAAAAGATCTTCATCTCTGATGATACAGATGTCTTGGAAACTGACTTGAATATGAACATGACACTCAAGCTTCTCTTGAACAGTGTTAGGATTGTAATTCTCTATTTAGTTTTATCCTATTTGTGTCTTTATATTCAAAATGTGTTTTCTTTTGCTTTTTTACAGTACTGGTGATGGAACCCAGGACCTTGTATGTGTCAGGAAACCACTGTACCATGGAGTTAATTGTCCCAGCCATTCAAAATTTGAGTATTATTCTATAATCCAATCTGCCTTTTAATTGGGTGTTTGGTGTATGAGACACAGATATGGTTAACTTTATCATCTTGCTTTCTGTGAGCCACCTAGCCTTCGTTACTTCTGTCACCCGTTCCTATTTTCTTCAGACTAAATACTTTTAGGATATGGTTTTATCTCCTTTGATGCTTCATGACAATAATTTTTAAATTTTATTTAGTTTTATTTTATATGTATGACTGTTTTGCCTACATGTATGACAGTGTACTACATGCATGCAATGCCCTCAGAGGCCAGAAAATTGCATCAGCTCCCCAGGAACTGGAGTTATGAATGACTATATGGGTGCTGGGAACCGAAGCCTGGTCTGCTGCTCTCTCCAGTCCCGTGACAAGAATTCTTGTTTGTCTGCACAGATTATATTTATTTCTTCATTTTCTATGCACTCTACCACCTACTCCAGTTTGGTTTTTCTAGATTCTGTCCCAACCTTTTTCACATCTATCCCAAAGTCATCTAAAACTGTGTTGGCTGGTTCATATCATCCAGCGTTAGCTAAGTGTGGTGGAGTAAAACCATGTAAACTTTCACACAAAGGCCAAAATGCATTTGCTTTGTTTACAAGGACAGAGAGGAAACCAAGGTGAAAGAGACAGTGGTCTTCAGCTTAAACAGGTCCACGTCTCCATATTGCTGAGAAGCTTCTGCATTCAAATGTAATGCCTGAGGAAAAACAAGCTATTGACAAAACTTTAGTACATGATTCTATTGGACCATCATCAACTATCAAGGGTATCAAGGGTACCTGGCATGGAAGATTAGTTTCTATCAAATGAGGGTTTCAGCCTATGCTTCTGTTTTACATCTGGACAAACAACTTGTAGAGAAAACATCAATCAGTCCTTGACACAGAGAATCTGAGGAGGGAAAGTACTCAGTGACTGTTCTGTTTTTCAGTGAAAACTCAGAGGACAAGGAAGACACTTCCGTTTCTACAAGGGCCCTTTGCAAGCTACAACATGGGCTGAAAAGGGGAGACACATTTAGAGCTGACAGAGCACGAGCTGGACAAACAGCAAGGAAAGGTGCTGCTGGGAGGAAAAGGTGCTTTCAATATAGGAAGCAGTTAGGAGACGCAACCTACCTCTCAATGCAACCAGGGGCTGAAGGGGACAATGGGAAGTGAACATCACCACACCATTCCCCAGCGTGTGCTACGCGGACGAGGAAAGAACTGACAGTGTTGGCAGAATTCTCTTCTCACCCTCACTTGTAAGCTGAGAGGAAAAGAGTCCTGGCGTGAGTTTCTAGAATGAGGGAAGAGACCCAACCAGTTTCTTCACGAGCTGATAACATCAGTGAAGTCAGCCATGATGCCCAATGGTTTGCTCATGTGGGACACAGCAGACACCAATTTAAAATTTAAATAACCTGAACCCACAACCTCTAGGCCAAAACACTCCATTTTTTTTCCTTTGAGACAGGATCTCATGTAGCCCAGGCTAGCTTTGAACCCATGATAGGGTCAAGGATAACCTTGAACTTCTGATCCCTCTTGCTTCTGCTTTTCCCAGTGCTGAGACTACAGATATGAATCACCATGCCCAGTTTATCCAGTTCTAGAAACCAAACCCAGGGCCTTGTGCATGCCAGGCGGGTACTCTACTGGTGAGCTATATCCCTGGCCCCTAAGCACTCCAGTGTTCAATGCTGAGAAGAAGAGTCAACAGTTTTCCAAAGACATCACATTGTGGTGTACATGGCTCCATGGGTAGGGAGACTTCTTTATCAAACCTGATGGTTTTCTTCCATCACTGGAACCGAGAGGTTGACTACAGTGCTGTTGACACAAAGAATACATGTGAACATTACAACAAAACACAGAAAACACTTTGTGGACACTGAAGTCATCAAGAAGCGACTAAAGCCTCCATTTGCTCCTATGTTCAAAACATGCCCTGTCTTAGTTTGTTTCTTCACTGCTGTGACAAAACACTCTGACCAATACCAACTTGGGGAGGAAAGGGTTTATTTAGCTTATATCTCCCGGGTCACAGTTCATCAGGGAGCCCAAGGCAGGAACTCAGGGCAGGAACCTGGAGGCAGGAGCTAGAGCACAGGCCATGGAGGAACTCTGCTTACTGGCTTGCTCCCCTGGCCCCTGCTCAGCCTGCTTTCTTATGCAACACCTGCCCAAGGGTGGCACCCCCACAGTGGGCTGGGCCCTCCCACATCACTCAGCAAACCAGAAGATGCCCCACAGACATGGCCACAGGCCAGTCCAATGAAGGCAATTCCCCAATTGAGGCTCCCTCAACCCAGGTGTGTCAAGTTGACACTAAAACTATCCAGCACATGCCCATATATGGGAACACCTTCTGTTACAAATGGGAATGTTACCTAACCTTGTTGACAAAATTAATCTTAGGTTTTGAGATCATTTAACACTATCTCAGCTTGTTCACTAGGCTTTTGGGCTCCTCTTGTAACCTAAACATATAGCTAAAAATCTCTCATGACCTTTCCATGCCCTGACCCAGAATGGTAAGTGTAAGTACCTACTGTGGAAATATCAGTGCTGAAAGCAGAAAATATTGTTGAAAGCAATGAATTCTCCCTTTTGTGCTGTAGGTGGGATTAGACTGATAGCATCTGTTTGTGCTTGTGTGTGCTGTTCTGGGTCAGTAAGGGTCAGAAAGGGGAAATACCCTGACAAGACAGGTTCCTCATCTTTTCTCATGTCATGCTGGATGTACCATATCAATAAAGACAGAGCTAGACCTTTTGTCTGGGGAACAGTTCTGAAAACTCATAAGGAACAGTACTCAGAACTGATCGGGCCCACTCTTGGTTCCAACCAGTGCCAAAAAGTCAGGCTGTCTTTTTTGTAGGCACTGCTGTAGTACGGCATTTCCCTACCACACCCATAGTTGTTTAATAATATGAGGTGGTTTAATCTGACAACTGACAGAGCATTAGAAATAGTCTTCTTTATAGGAGGCTGCAAAAATTACCTTTTTGATATTAAGAAAAATATTAATTTTAATATTATTGTTTTATTACATAAAACTGGTAATTAAAACCAGGTATGGTGACTCACATATGTAATTATAACATTTGGCAGACAGAAGCGGAGAATTTCCACAAGTTTGAGACCAACCTGGGCTAGAGATGCTTTCTCAAAACAAAACAAGTAACAATATTAATATATAAATAAATAAAGCTAGTAGTCTGGAAGGGTGTAAAAGGTTGCAGAACACTTTTCTCAGGATCTTGCCTACTTTCATGATTTTAAAGGCCATCTGTAGATGTTAATACCCAAATTTCAATTTCTTGCCCAGCCTTCATCCACCTACCTGACCAGCTATCTTCCTGACTTTAGTACTTGATGTCTCATAGGGACATGTAACCTGACTCAGGCGACTATGGCACAAGTTCACAGCTTAAGAGGTTCAAGACCACGGCACCTACATCGGCTTCATTACCCATGGGAGCGGCAGGATAATGCAGGAGCACATTGGAGAGCCAGCAAGCAATTACATCTCCAATGAGGAGCAGAGGACAAGAGGGCCAGGCTCCTTTCTTACAAGAACTCAAGGGGCCTCACGGGAGTTTCCTCATGTCCCCAGTGACCTAAGGACTTCCCACTTGGCTCTACCTCTTAAAGGATCCACTAACTCCCAACAGTATCATTCTAGGGAACAAGATTTTAACACATGACCCTTAGGGGGACACAATACAACCTCATCCAAACCATATTAGCACATTCAGCCAGGTGAGCCCAAAAGCAAACCCTTGAGTTAGGGACACAGGTCTGTGGTAGAGTACTGGCCTAGCGTGATAAGGTCCTAGGTTCAATTCCCAGTACCTGGCATCCATCATGCAAGGTGTAGCTTGAATCCATCAACTTTCCTTTCTTCCTGCCACCACCCACCAGTGTAAACCACATCCTCCCCTCCTCCTCCATAGTATAACCTTGCATCGGTTTCTTCACAGCCTCTTACGCTCCTCTGTATTTGTTTTCTGCTGCTGTTGGGACAGATTACTACAAACTTAAAGGCCTAAAGCAACAAAACTTTACGAAGTCTAGAAGTTACCCAATGTACCCTGGCTTGTTGGCCTAGTTTCCTCTTACTGGGCCTGTCTCCTGCTTCCCTGTGTTCCAGCATCATGGGCTTCTGTCTGGTTCTCAGCTGCCCTGTTCCTCTCAGCCCTGGGGTCTCTGCTGTCCTACCTCCCAGGCAACCTTTATCTCTCTAGCTTTTGATCAGTCCTCCAGATCACTGTTAAGTCTTTCACAGGGCGACCCTCCCTGACTTCCCAGCCTACAAGCGCTCTTTCTACACTGCCATGGCACTTGTAGAGGCTAGTTTTCATTCAACTTGACACAAACTAGAGTCGGCTGAGAAGAGGGACCCTCAACTGAGGAATTTCCTAGGTCAGACTGGCCTGTGGGCACGTTGGTGGGGCATTGTCTTGATTGCTAGTTGATATAAGAGGGCCCCACCCACTATGGGCCATACATCTCTAGGCAGGTGGGCCTGGGCTGTGTAAGAAAGCTGGACATGAGCCAGGCAGAGGGAGCCAGCAGGCAGCGGTCCTCCATGATCTATACTTCAGTTCCTGCTTGAGTTCTTGCCCTGACTTCCCTCAATGATGGACTGTGACCGAAAAGTGTAAGCCAAATAAACATTTTCTTCTTCAAGTTGTTTTTGGGCAGAATGCTTTATCTCAGCAACAGGGATCAAACTAACATAGTTACTATTGCTCCTCCCTAGTTTTTGCTACAGTTAAGAATTAGATTTTATTTGTAGGATTATTTGTGTTACATCTGCTTGCCTGCATCAGACTGCAAATCCATAAGGGACTGGAGCCTTATCTATTCTGCTCACCACTGTAAGTCTTGGGACTCTCAGCTTGTTGCTGGTTCAAAAAAAATAAATGAGTGCTAATGAATGTTATTTTAACAGTAGGCTTAAATTTTGAAATGTGAATTGTATAGACCAAAGACTTCCATTTCAGCATTAGCACTGGAGGCCAGGTTTTCACTCATTACTCTGAGTCTCTATGACAAACACATCTGTTGTCTACACCCCAAACCTGTTACCCACCCTGACACCGAAAAGGGTTGGACTTCTCTCTTGGCCTTGTGCTGGATCTGCCATGCCAGGCCTGGGGACAGAAGCCACTACTCTATTCTTGCTCATGTGACTCATCACTAGAAAATGTTCCCCAAGCAGGGAGGGGTATTGGTGCCAAAAGAACACACAGGGCTATATGCAACTGAGGAATTCTTCCTTAGCCCCTGACTCCCAGGGAGTTTTCTTCCAAGTATTTTTCTAGTTACCTACATTCTACAAAAAGTAGGTGTTCTAGAACTAGAAAGTACTAGATTTAAAACCCAGGTTTGCCCTTTTTCAGAAAATTGACTGAACTTTGAGCCTCTGTACACACACACACACACACACACACACACACACACACACGCATGCACGCACGCACGCACGCACACACGCACAGAGGATAACAATCCTGCACGACAAAAGTGCTAGATAATCCAAGTGCACACACCTGGAGCAATGCTCCAGCCACCAAATGCCTCGCCCTGTGCAGGGCTCTTCTACCACTCTCATCGGATTTTCCTGGTAAAGGGTTTCTGTTTCCCAACAAATACTTTGTTCTGGGCCTCAGATGAACACAGGCTATGCTCTAAGCTTAACTAACCACTGTGAGAACAATTATAAAGAATGCCAAGAACACAGAGGTAGTGGTGTGTTGCTTCTAGGTGCTTAATTGAGCCGTCAGGACCTCCATTTCACCTCGATCTGTGGGTGGATGTGTAAAATACACTTCCTGACTCAGAGGAGACACCCCACATGTTAGTTACCACTGCCCACATACTCGCATCTTTAGTCTCTGGGCACTTTCTTTACTTCCCTGTTTCTTTCACTTTCAAGTCCTTTCACTTGCTTCTGCACTCCCACATGGCCACTTCTACAATGTAATCATCTATTCAATGTATCTCGCTTCAACAGGCCTTCCTAGTGGCCCAGATACCCTCAGACATCACTTTCTCCCCAAAAGTTACATTTCACACTCCAAAACACATTGAGGGATAGGTGCTAACTCGTCCATGCTTGTAATCCTCCTCCTCAGGGTCTAGAAACGCTTTCTTTTATATGGAGGAAACATCTACTAATTGCTGAGTGAAATGAACAGAATCTGATTTATACATAACCCTAAATTTGCACCATCAGAGGGACAAGCAGTGGAGCTG